TACCTGCCCATCATTCCTCTCTCTTCCATTTTATTTCCATGCTATACAAAGACACCTGTCATAGCATTCTGTGTAAATTACTACCTCTCCCAGGACCTGTATCTACAGCCAATCTTCTTTGTACTTTAAAAAAAAAAAAAAAAGAAAAAAAAAAAAAAAAACAAAAAAAAGAAAAAAGAAAAGGAAAAAAAAAACACCCAAAACCCAGAAAACAAATGACTACTGTAGACACTCTAAGTTCCCTGTCAATCGTTTCATTATAGCAGCATCATCTGTTTGAAAATATAAGCAATTCCCTCATCTAATTACAGGGAGGATTTGAGGTTCATTAACATTGCCAAGGCAGAGAATCAGATGTGCAACTGCAGAGCTGTGCTCAGTGGCCTGCATTCTCTGTTTCCTTTTATTTGCTTTTTCAAGGTCTCCAAGACTTTTTCCTGAAACCATAAAAGTAATTCTTTCCTTCAAAATAGACACGTGTGTTTAGCAAAAGGAAATGACTGCATTTGGTACTGTTCTATTATTGGGCAAGGTCACTGGAGAAAAATAATTTCACCTAAATCATTTTATCTCTGATTCTGGAAGAAAAAAAAAAAGAATAATAGTATGCAAGCAACCATTACTTTTGAACAACAGATCACAGGAAACCTTGCATTTGCCTCATATTTTTAAATATTGCAAGGTAATGCGGATGAATAGCAAACCTAACATGCCAAGAAAACCTCCGAATTTTCAACACGTTTTGTGGTTGTTTATTGATTAACATGCTAGACAAGTGCAAAATGTTGCCTTGTATTTCCTAACTGCGCTTAGAAACTAGAACACCAAAGTCTTCACGATTGCTTCATTTCCTTAAAGAAATAATAGTATTTCTTTTTGTATGAATGTAGTTTAAACAATGACATTTTCTCGGGACATCTGTTTTGAGATCACAGTTTGAATAGATATGAACTCATTTCCTACTAAGCAAGTAATTTACTATTGTTGATAGTTGTTTACAAGTTTTATGAGTCAGGTTTTAGCAAGTGGCAAAGGTCTTTACAAATCCTTTGAGTATTCCCTGAAGTGTATGCGTCGTGTTTTCATTATACAAAATGTTCGGGAAGCAAAAGTGGAGGGACTGTTCTTCACTTCCTCCCAAGTTATAGATAGCAGAGCCTAGCTCACAGAAATAGCTTTAAACATATTTATTTTCAAAGGCTTCTATCTTTTGCTGCTGCAGGTTAATGAAGTATGATAGCAGGGCAGTAAGCACTTAAGCAGCAAGGAAATAATTGAGCTGCTCTAGCTATCTGTAACTTTGGAATATTAGACAGTAACTATACAACTGATCCTAATATCATCCTAAGATGTTTGCATGACAAAGAGCAGAATCTCTTCAATGAAATTTAAAGTTTGACCTTGTCACTCTCTTTCTTTTAATTCTGCAATTAAACCAAAAAAAAACCAACACAGCAGATTTTTTTTTTGTTTGCTGCCAAACAGAGTTCATTTTTTAAACAAAAATCTGATAATTTATCTATCCTGCATGTTGTATGTAGAATTGCCACTAAAAAGAACCCAGGACATTTTTCCTTCTTATCTGCAATGTAGCTCATATCAGCCAAGCTGTCACAAGACAGTACTTGATATAAACAAGAGATTGCAAAGACATCTCAGTAATCAATATTAGGATGGCTACAGTATGGAAGCCCCAACCACTGCATATCATTTGTCTCAGCATCTATTTCTATGACCAAATGAAGCATTAATTCAAATCATAAATCTATGGTGATTTAAATCTGGGAATGAGCACCTGCCTGCTTTAATGATTTATTTTGTACATTTCAGTAAGCAGGAGATTTGTCCATATGAACTGACAGGTCACCTTCAGATGCCAGTAGCAGACTGTTTATCACCATGCAGACTAGCATCTCATCTTAGCAAGTAAATATTAAACTAAAAGAATCCAATTGATTGTGGATGGGGGAGAAAGGCGTTGCAGCCATATATTTTACTCAGTGTGCTAATACCTCACTCTGATTCCTCTGTAATTTCTTTTTTTTTTTCCTTTTTCCCCCCACTGCTAAAATGATAATTCTGATGGGAGGATGCAAGCTCAAGGTTACTATACAAAACCAAGGGATATAAAATAATTACTTATTAGTATCATTGGCTTCCTTTAACTCCCTTCACTCACTAACCTTTTGACCACTGCTTCACAGGGCCAAGTTAACACATTTGTGTAGTGCCCTGTATATGTATATTATGTATATTACGCAATGTTCATCTACAAAAATGACTTCTATAATTCCCATTAAGAATCTGATTAAAACTAAAGCAAGACAATTCAGAAGCAAACTTGACATTTCAACTCAAGAGCCCGTATTTTATCTACCTTCTTATACATGGAACAGCCTAAGAACACAGTATGATCAATCCGTGTGCGCTAATTTACCATAATGTCTGTTACATATGGGGTAAGATGCATCAGTTAAGCTTTTAGCCTGGCTGGTTAGTTTGTTCGCTCCTTTTCAGTTTGGTCAGGCACATAACATAATTTAAAATATAAACCAAAATCACGTTACTTTCTTCTGGTTTATTCCTTCTTCCTGTCAATGTTCACTAACATAATATTTCAAATTCATCCAAAAAAAGCCATAATTTAAAACATTAATAGTATATGGACTCAATAATATTTATTTGAAAAGACATAAATAAACATCTGAAAAAAATGCAGGGGAAAAAAAAGCACACATCACAAAGCAACATCTTTGACATAGGAGTCCTTGTCAATATAATACAATACGCATATTTTCAAAAATGCAACTAATAAACAGAGACTTCACTCTTAACGAACCTAATAATACCCTGGCATTAGCAGTAATAGGAATCACTTCTCTGATTCCACAGGCGTAACCCACACTGGACACTAGACAGGGCTCACTATAAAAGAAACATAGAAATGCAAACTATTTTTGAGAAAACCTCCATAGGAAGAGTATAGCTCCAGACTGGATGCACAGACAAGCACACTGTATTTCCAGAACAATTCCGCATGGAATGAGGACAACTGGAATGCTATCCACTCTACCCACAAGAGCCATTTTTTGTCTCAACAAAATGAACTCAATTCTTCATTCAGTTAAATCAGGAAATTAACTGAAGTTAACAAGTAAGTTAACGGTTGAGAAGAAATTTTGATAATGACAATAAATAATCTTGCTCTGCTAACTTTGCCCTACTAAAATAGCTAGAATGTATTTTCTTAGACAGGGAAAATGATTAAGCTGTGTAAGAGCAGATTAGTTATCTAAATTACGCCTCAAACAATGATTTCAAAAATACTTTTATTCAGAGGAAATTCAGATATTCCCTCCATCCACTCTCCTGCAAACACTTCACATGGTTTAGATGTTGATTACCTGCTAACTTATCCATTTCCACGGATGTACAAGTGGTTTGTCACTAGAACGCCAAGCAGAACAACAATTCTGTAATCCAATATTTGAACAATTTATTTCACGCAATGCATTCAACTAAGTCTAAAATTCAAATCTAAACTAGCTTCTAGTTCTAGTACAGACTCTTTATCGTCCCAGTTTGTATTTATATTTTTCACTCTTTCTCATTATTTCACTTTTCTTCCAGCGTGTTAGGGGCCACCGGGTCCTTCCACTTCATTTGTACCCATCTCTTCCTCCCAGATTTCAAAGGCACCTGCTCTCTACCTGCTCTTGTCTTGTCTCCAAGAGGACAGTCTTTCCACTTATATTCTAGTGACTGCATGTGTTGGTGTCTGAGTACTGACATAACTAATTTAAGACTATTTTCTTCACCATCACAGAGGCATTTTTTCAAGCCTTTTTTTAAAAGAAAAAAAAAATCTGGTTACCTCCTTATGCAGTAATGCATACATGTTGTTGTTATGTAAAATAGCATGTGGCTACATGAACCGGTTCTTTGAACTGCAATTCATATCATTTCTAAATAATAGCCTACCAATGCCTACCGAACTGTACAGAAATGCTGTTCACAAACACATATTTATTTATATTAAAGCTAGCACATAAATCTCTAAGACTCACTTCAAATGTGTTTAGGAGATGAAAAATTAAAAAATAAACAAAGCAAAACAAAAGAGCCAAAATAAAAACAAACAAAAAATCCCTATCTTAAGCCATTTTTTCCCATAGACACCGTTCTTGCCTGCAGTCTTCTGAACGTACCTCTTTGTCATTGAATTTCTGTTGCTGAGTTAATACTGTCTCAATATGATAAAAGGAGCCAATACAATGAAACGGCATAACAAAACATTTTACAGCAGACACACACAGATGATTAAAGATTTAATCAACAACAACAAAAAGTTACTCCAGCTTTGAAGTACGCTTTAGCAAAACAAATCGTCCAAACAAATGAATAAAGTATACTGAAACAATTCTTTTTTGAGAAAGAACAAGAGTCGCTGATGGCTGCTTAAGAAATGGAAAAACCTGTTAACTGCATTTTAAGAATGTGTTTATTAAAATAAAATATGATAGAAACTGCAGAGCATGGCAATAATTTATTGTGTATGTATGTTTTCCTTTTGTCACAGGGCACATGAAAGTATGAAATATTTTGCTTTCAAGCTTGTGTTCTGAATTACCTAAAGTCGATACCCAGCACACTGAGCAGGAGACATTGTTAAATTTCACTTTGACACCATCATCTGTCACTCCACCTGTACTTTGAAAAATGAACTCTAGGCAATCAAACCACTTTCTTTCATGGAAAATATTAACTGGAGTCTGCAAAAGTAACCTGCAAAGGAAATGTTTTTGTAATAGTAACAGCAATGCTGAATGCTGGTGTAAAGGTCAGATACAAAATAAAACTGAAAACAGTAAGAAAAAGAGAACAAATATGCAACTTTTTACACCAAATCAAGGACTTCAGAAGGAAGTCCAGACAGATCACCATTTTAATAAAATATCAGAGCATTACGGACATACAGCAACGCTGTATCTGAGACTTACCGACACTGGAATTCAGATCTCCATTTTCAGAGTCTGCGCCATGCTGGTTGTTATTTGCATGATAGTTGGACATAGCTTCCAATTTAATTTTTTTCACTTTCATTGCTTCTGCTATGGCTGCGTTGGTGGCAGCTGCTGCC